AGAGAGGTCACGAAGTACGTAGAATGGCTCGCGTTTGAGACGCAAGGTCCTTCGCAGGATGCTTCGGAATTGCTCCTCATCCCGGCAAACGATATTAAGCTGGCGAGTCCTCGAGGTATCAGCACGCTTTTCACCAAGACAGAAGGCAGATAAAGCTTGATCCCCTGTTTGCCTTTACCAAATAGCAACGAGATCAACCGCGATAGCAGTATTTGTTCATATAGTATGCTTTCCGCATGTGTTGCGTTTCCGACTACGCTGCGCTCATGATGATGAGACAACGGCCGCGTGATGACTGGGTGCGCTCAGGTACCTTTGGGTTGCTAAGAGACGGATTTTGCTTGACCACTTTCTCCAGCTCGGATAGTCTGTCGAAAACTAGCTTCATTTGATACTGAGATGGTAGCTTAGGTTTGGGTTTCTCGATGGGCTTAGGCATAGTCTCGGCGACAAATGTAGGTGGGCTTTTGCAACTAGATACGAAGACCTCGCTCTCCCTCACGACCGCCGCATAAGATCTTGTTGTGAGCTCAATAGGCAGGACCCGTTTAGATTGATCCGAGTTACTAGTGGGCGTGCTTTGGTTTCGCTTACTCATGTAGGATGATCCAATCGAAGGTAGATGGTGATGGTGAGGACGGTGGAACAGATAAATGGCGAATAGCATAAGGCTTCCTGGGAGAAGAAGGATTAAGGATCGACGCGGATATTCCGGTAAGAAGACGTTTGCTATTCAGTGAAGCACGGCAGTTGTCGCAAAAGAAGTTAATGGCTGGCGAGGTGAATCCCTGAGAAAGCACATAAGGCTCAGGACAGATGCCGCAGCAGGCTATGTGCATCTACCCATCACATTCAGCTCACGGCACTGCTTTGGAACGAGTGGTGACACTTTTCCTACAGACATGCAGTTAGACGCCATAAAAGACGAAGTCCAAATTTTCACGTTAACCGCGCATGGAGACGGATTATCCTCTAGATTATCCATTGCAAAAAGCAGATACAAATGTATTAGGTTAGAAATCACTATGATCACAAGTAAGGAATCCCAAAATCACTGGAAAGAGCTCACCAGAATGAAAATACGCAATGGCGGACGGCGTGTTCCTGACAGGGGGTCACCAATTTTTTGCGGAACCTGGGTTACTAGTCGGTAAGCAATGACACGTAAGACGTGTCAAACACGACAGTATAGAAGTCGGAGGCGACTGAACCCAACGTATATTGTACAAGCTACAAGGATAAGAAGCGAATCAGACGGAGCGGAAAACGTGCAGCGAGGAACTCACCAAAACGGTTTGTGACAACGGACGTGCAGTCAGTAAAACACATGGACGTTTCGAAGGTTAAAACAACCATAAAATCCAATGTTACAAGATAGTGAAAGAGCGGGTTTTCTGTTGCACTGCAAAGGTCACGGCATAATCGAAAGCAGACAACTGGCAAATAGAAGTAGTGTGGACGGATGTTTTATGGTGCAACTAAGGTTTATTGCAATTGTTTCATATAGGTATAAGGTTATTTAGGCGAAAGAGGGCTAGGAAAGTGCGCAAACCCTCCGCACCCAAACCGAGAGGTGAGAGTTCGCTCAAGCTTCAACCTCCCGTGCGGGAATGGCCACCTGGGGATGAAATTCCCTCAGTTTCACTCAAGGTTGTGCAGGCAGTGGGTGAGAAACCCCAGATGTCCCCATCTCGTGCTACTCAAACTGCGGTGCCAACACCGAACACCTCATCCTCTCTTCCAGAGTTACAGGTAGTGGAGGCGGGCATGGACGTTGAGCAACGGGCTTCTTCGCCTGCAGGCCGAAAGTAAAATCGGAACAGAACTGCCAGTACTCCTCAGGTAGGTACCAAAAGTGTCAAGAATGTCTGCGCAAACAAGCTGGAGCGTAGAACGTACGCTACAGTTCCTTCAGCGTCGTCTAATAAAGTGCGCCCAGTCTCATTGCCTGCGGCTAAGGCGGTTGCTGTTCATGTAACTTCCAAAACCGGTGGGGTAAATACACTCCGTCCAGGTGATTCTTTCATGGATGGCATCGTGATATTCCGTAACGCAGTGGAATCCACTGCAGCACTTCCTGCTGAACGTACATTGGACGACCTACAGTGGTTTAAGATGTGGTTAGCGAAGCTTTTCCGGCCTGGGTTTCCCGGTGTTACTGTCAGGAAAATGGCTAGATTGGGTAACGTCCCAGTTAGCGCCCCAAACCCTCGACTGCGCTTGCTTCGTGTAGTCTTATCCACCTCAGAGGAACGCAACACGCTGTTGCGGTTTGCCTTCAAATTGAAGGGCACTAATGTTAGCTTCCAGCCAGATCTCCCATTAGCGGATACGCTGAAGCTAATAGAGGCCATTAAGTACCTCAAAACAGGCGAACGGCCGGTGAACATGGTCTCCGGTTAGTGGATATTCGGGTGGTCAGCCGGCGGTCTGTTTCCGCCCTATTAGTGCCAGTA